ATATATAGTCGAAACCTATGAAGCTTTGGCTAGAGTATGCAAGCTTTAAAACCCTTGCCAAGACATTTTCTGCTGTTTGCTGTTGAGGAGATTTCCCTATACTTCCTGTCCCAGAGACACAAGAGAAAGTAATGATAAAACTCCTCTTAGACAGTTGTCACCAGAGCATGTGTCCCCATTGGAAGATTTCCCCTTACCACCTGTTACAGAGACAACTGTAACAATTTGGATTGTGTTGTATGTATAAGAAGTAGGCTGTATTTACACTTTTACAGTGTTTAAAAGTTTGTTGAACACAATGTAGTACGTGCTTTCAAAGTCAAAGCAGCATTGTAATTGCTATAATCAGAAATATTTATAATACACATCTGTCTATAAGTCCCATAGACATTGCATGCTGTGCAGGTGACCACACATAGGACATGTAAATAGTGTCTTAGCAGTGTAATTTGTGTACCTGTGTGGATACCCACAAAACATAAAACAGTTGGTAAAATTTGAGAACAGGTTTGGGAAACGTTGTAATACGCTATTTGTGCCTGAAAAAAGTATGGCGTCACACTGTATTGTACCAAATATGTTCATAGGCACCATAGTAGCTGATCTCTTATGAATAGATAGCTTTAATTTGCATTAAAGTCAGTACCACACCACTGTGCTAGCAATACATTGAACTATGTGACACTATCAACATTCATGGAATTTAAAGTGCCTGTGTTATAAGCAACATACTGTATATTGTGTAATATGTCTATAAACAGTATATATAGATATATAGATATATATACTGTTATATGCAATATAAATTGTATACTACCCTAAGAGATCACTAGATAATCTGTACAAAGACTTAACGATTCAGTGTGAGAAGATGGATATCCCCTTTCTATCTTACCTTCCTACAGAAGTAAGTACTTAAGATTAGATTTTAAATGTGTATTCAAATACTTTGACACTGAATGGGCTGGCTATTCTTGGACTAGAGGCATGTGTCCCTTTATATCATTACTTCATGACACAATTGTAACAGGGGAAGGGTGGATTTGGAAGTGGTAGCTAGGTATGGCTGTGTATTAACAATTTTCTTTTGTGATTCTGGTAAAAACCGCGTGGGGGGGGCACTCGCTTGTCTCCCCCCTTTCCTGCCCTGCCAGGCCAGTGCTTGGATTAAGGGTCTGGTTGGGAATTTTTAGGGGGGACCCCACAGTTTATTTCCTATTTTTGGGGGGTGGGGTTCCCCCTCAAAATTCCTACCAGACCTAAAGGGTCTGGTATGAATGGGAAGGGGTACTGCAGGCTTTTGTTTGTGAAAATTTTTTTAATTCTGTTCGCTACCTTCGAGGTAGCGAGCAGAATGACCGAGCTGAATGCTGCATGGGAATAGGAGCAAACAGCAGCGAGTGAACTGCCGGACGTGCAGTACAGCTGATCCAGATGTTGGATCGGCTGAGTCCCCCAGGCCGCTATTGTAATTTAACAGCAGGGCGGTATTGTAATTTAACCCCAGGGCGATAGTATAATTTAATCCTAGGGCGGTAGTGCAATTATACCCGAGGAAGGTAGTGTATTTTAATTTAACCCCAGGTTTTTGAAAGAGCCACTTGAGAACCACTAAACCCCAGGTTATTGAAAAAGCCACTCGAGAACCACTAAACAAAAATAAATAATTAATCTTCTATACAATAAAATAAAAAAGGGTGGAATAAAATAATGTCTTCCATGAGTGGGTATGCAACCAGGTGCATGTCGTGCGCAATGTATGCGTTCCTTGAACATGCGTTCGAGGGGGAATACATTTCCGCTAGATGTGAGCGAGTTGTTTGTTTGGAAACCCAGATTCTGGATCTAAACAACAAACTGGCAACACTAAGGAGCATAACCATCATGGAAAAGAGTCTGGACATAACACACCAGGCTGTCGTGGAGGGTGGTCTGGATGAGGAGGGGGGGTCGGAGGAGCAGGATCCCAAGGTGGGTAGCTGGGTTACTGTTAGAAGGCGGGCTAGAGGGAAGAGTGCGAAAGAGGTCAGTCCTGATCTGATCCACCCCAATAAATATGCCAATTTGCAGGATGTTGGGGATATTAGTTCAGCGGGGACATCCTCCATCCGCAGGGGGAGTGACTGCTCCGGCGAGGATGGGAGCAGGATGGAGGGTCATGAGAGGCAGATCCTGGTGGTGGGAGATTCCATCAGCAGGTGGACTGACAGGGTAATCTGTCATCGGAACCGTGAGCGTTGAACAGTGTGCTGCTTACCGGGGGCCCGTGTTCGACACATTGCGGAACAAATTGACAGATTACTAGATGGGGTTGGGCACGACCCCGTTGTCATGGTGCACATCGGCACCAATGACAAAATAGGAGAAAATTGGAGTGTCTTAAAAAAGGAGTTCAGAGACCTAGGTGCTAGGATGAAGGAAAGGACCTCCACGGTAGTATTCTCCGAAATAAAGCTGGTGCCACGAGCCACTCCGGACAGACAGCGCGATTTGAGAGAGCTTAACAAGTGGCTCCGGAACTGGTGTCAGAAGGAGGGATTTGGTTTCCTGGAGAACTGGGCTGACTTCGCAGTCGGCTACCGGCTCTTCAGCCGAGACGGACTGCACCTTAATAAGGAAGGTGCAGCATTTCTGGGGGGGAAAATGGTAGAAAGACTGGAGGAGCTTTTAAACTAGATAAAGGGGGGAGGGCATGAAAATAAAAATATTTAAATAGTGAAAACGTAAACATGGATACAAATAATACAGTGGGAAGCAGTGGTGTATTTAGGGTTGGGGCTGCCCTAGGCAAGACAAAACTTGGGCGCCCCCACACACACTAAATATACCCCACCCGGCTGTGGTCTCAGATGGGCTCTCAGAAATAGAAAAAGATTTGGGGGTCATTGTAGACCACAGATTGATTAATAGCTTGCAGTGCCAGGCTGCTGTAAACAAAGCAAGTAGAGTCCTGTCCTGTATTAAGAAGGGGATTTATTGCAGAGACAAGTCCAAAATTGTGCCACTATAGATCACTGGTTCAGCCTCATCTGGAATACGCGATCCAGTTTTTATGCGGTCCAGAAAGGATGTCCTTGAGCTTGAAAGAGTGGGCAACCAAACTAATTAGGGGAATGGAGGACCAGAGCTATGAGACACGACTACTAAATTTAAATATGTTCACGTTGGAAGTAAGGAGATTAAGGGGGGACATGATTTTCATGTACAAATTGTTCAATGGTGACAGCAACATTAGCAACAAACTCTTTGCGATTAACTCCGTAACAAAGACTAGAGGCCACCACCTAAAATAAGTGGAAAAGAAATTCCAGCACAAGGGGCGAAGGGGGTTCTTCACAGTTAGAGCGATTAGGGTCTGGAACTCGCTGCCAGAGGCAGTGATTTCAGCTAAGAATGTGGAATCATTCAAGAAGCTTTTGGACTATTTCCTGAGAAACCATAACATACAGGGGTACAGGTACACTTAAGGATCTGTGTGTGTGTGTGTGTGTGTGTGTGTGTGTGTGTGTGTGTGTATACACGCGCACACATCAGCAATGGGTGGGTCTTGGTGA